ATCGTTGCTCAGGAGGAATCTGTCTTCGAACACTTATGCCGCCATGGATGACGCCGCTGAGCCAGGCCCCGGGGTTCCATTCGGATGCATCGTGACAGCTATCAAGGCGCCTGCCACTGGTGGGGGCGGCTGGCTCAAACCTTCAAGGAGATGCGCTATGGATTCATTCACAGTGACCATTCTTCTTCGCTCATCTCCAATCTCCAATCTTCTACTTGGCCACTGTCGCCGCGCCGGCAGCAATCTACGACCTCCATTTTCAATCTTCGATCTCACATCTGGGGCGGATGGCTGGGCGCTAGGATCTACAATCTGCATTCTCCATCTCCTATCTCCACATTTTGGCCCGTGTTGCTGCTCAGCGATCTGCAACCCACAATCTCAATCTTCGATCTTTAGTCTTGAATGGGGAACCGGACTGGAGGGATCTACTGGCGAGACTTGGGCGTGTCCGTGTGAGAGATCCGCTAGGATCTCCAGTCTTAATCTACTATCTCTACCCCAACGATCTACTGGTCTTGCGTAGAGATTTCCATTACTCGCGGGGCGAGAAAAATCTCGGTCTGTCGTCTGACTCTGACGCGGTCATCTGGACCGACGCGGTCGTCTGACTGAGTCCCGTGCGTGTTGAAGTGCTAAAACAAAGAACAGCTGCGACGTGCGAGGTCCCTGCACACAACCAAAAGATCGCACGGGCGCGGGGACCTGTTGCTTTTTACCCATCTCACATCTCAGAGGTGTCCGTTTTTATTCGAAATGTCAAAAAGAAAAAATCGCCCTCGGCCAAGTCACACCAAGATCGTACAAAGAACCCTGCACAAAGATCGCAAGGGCGGGGACCTGTTCCTTTTTACCCATCTCACAGTAGAGAGGTGTCCGTTTTTATTTATTTACCAAGATCGTGCAGCTGCAGGGCGGGGAGACACCTGTCCCTAAATAGAGCTGTCAAACGTTAAGAGTTGAACAGTGTTGCTAGTGTTAACAGTAACAACAGAACAACAGTTGGGCTCCCCAACAACAGTAGCTAACGTTCACTTAACCCGCCCCAACCCGCCCTTTGGCGCCAAGTGTTCTAGCGCTCCCCTAGAGTGCCCAGGACCACCCTAGGGAGTATGAGGGTGTTGTATTGGCTGCTTGCGCGAATACAGAGAGATATGGTGGCACATGGAGGCCGCCGTCACCAAGGGTTGAACACCCCGGGGAGGCCCCCAGAGCTAAGCCTCCGAACGCCTGACCCTCCCCTTGAATGCAAGATGTGAGTGCACCCTAGGGCACCCAGTACTACTCTAGGGAGCATCAGTGTGTGGAATGTGATGCTGTTGGGTTCACACAGCAGTAAGGTGGCTCATAGAAGCCGCCTGCGCCCCGGTTCAAGCGAGCTCCCCGGGAGGCTCTTCACACCAAGACCGGCCCACACACGCTCACACACACTCTCACTCATCCAGAGACTGGAGGGAGCTGGCCATGGCAGTAGCCAACATGGTCCCAGCCTCCCTTGGCCACAGGCCTCCTGCACTTCTTGCAGAGGTTGACCTTGCACACGACGCAGCCCAACCGTGGCTCCGGGACACGCAGGCCGCTAGGCAGATAGAAGCGTGCGTGCCCCCCCGGCGTCTGCTGCGACGAGCCCTCCACCTCCTCACAGAGTAGCAGGCAGCCAGCGCAGTTGCTCCTGCCACCAGGAGGGAGGCCAAGCCGCAGCCGCTCACGCTGGCTGAAGTCCGTCTTGAAGTTCTTAATCTCGTTCTTAATCTCGCGCCTACCGCTGCGAAGCCCTCCGACGCGTCCCGCTGCACGTCGTCGAAGGAGCGCTGGTGGACGGTGAAGCCTTGTGGACACGAGGGCCGATGACTGATTAGGCTTGATAGCGGCTTGTGCGGACGGGTGGTGGGGAGGTGGGCGAGGAGGAGGGGCAGAGAGGGTGGGAGAGGGCTAGGAGTGCGCGGGAGAGCGCTGGTAGGGCGGGCGAGAAGCGGGTCAAGAGAGGAGGGGGAGGCGGGAGAGCGGTAGGCGGAAGCGGGGGTGGCGGCGTGTCGGCTCGGGGGTGGCGGCTCGGGGTGGCAAGCGAGGGAGTGGCAGACGAGCGAGGGCGGCGAGGGAGTGGCTTGTGCGTCGCTAGCTCTCGCCTGCGGGTGGCGACGCCGTCACCTTGACGTACGAGTGGAACGAGTTGCTCACGCGCCCCTCCTCGTCGACGCGGCCCATGGCGAGGGAGACGGCGAAGGGAGACTTGCCGCCCGTCGACACAACGTCAAGGGCGATTAGGGCACGATCGGACGTCGGCGACCACACCTGCGCCGCCTCCCACTTCAGCTTAGGCGGCACGACGCAGCGAGGCTTGCTCGGCACCGCACCACCGTTCGGCACTGGCCAGACGGAGTCGACGCGGCCGCCAAGCGCCTAGCATGGAACGGGACAGTCGCTGTCTCAGGCGACTGCAGCCGGGCGATTGCAATCCGGATTGCAATGCAGGAACTACCTGCTCGATCAGCTGCGGGTGCTGCTCGCGAAACTCTTCGACGAGAGCGGAGGCGAGGTTGTCCTCGGGCTCGAAGGAGGGGTCGTAGGTCTCCGCTCCCGTCGGGTCGGGCTCCCACTCAATCTGGTACTCGAGCTTCCCGCCCCACACCCGCTTGAGCGCCAAGATCCTCCGCACCGCGTAAAGCGGGTCGCTCTCATCACTCTCGCTCTCGCCATCGTTGGCGTCGCGCGAGCTGCTCGCTCCCGAGGGCGGCGAGAACCTACAGGGGTCGCGGCGCATCATGTGAGAGGAAAGTCAAGTGTCGCCGCTCTCGCCGCTCTCGCCGCTCGCCCGCCGCCGAAGGCACCCTCGCTCGGCGTCGTCGCGTCGCTCCTGTCGTCGTACATCGCGACGAAGCGGTCCTCCTCCTCGCGCTGCTCCTCCTCGGCCTCATTGCGCGACCGGGCCGTCGCCGCCTTGGCCGCCCGCGCGGGCGGTCGCCCCATCTGCTCCTTCTCGCTGTCGTAGTCGCCGTCGGAGAGCTCGCAGCGGTCGTACCCCGGCACCTCCCGCCTCTCCACCTCCTGCCCTGGCCGCGACCCGACGCCGCTCCGCGTGCGCCTCTTGCCCAGCAGCGCCGCGGATGGTGGCGGGTCGTTGCGCCGCCGCCCGCCAGGCGGCGCCGAGCGTGCCCGGCTAGAGGAGCCGCCAACGCCACCCGCCGCCACCCTGCGCCTAGCACCGCCACCTGCCTCGGCAGCTGCCGACACCGCCGTCCTCCGCGCCGCGGGTGCCGCCGCGGGTGCCGCCGCAGGAGCCGGCTCCCGCGGCGCTGGCGCCGCCGCCACCGCCTCTTGCCGTGCGTTGGCATCTCCCGCTGCTGTAGAGTTGGCGGCGGCGGCGCAAGAGCGTGTCTGCGGACGCGGTGGCGCCGCCGGATCCCGCTCGGACGCCGACGCGCTGGCCGCTCCCTCCGTCGCGGCGGCGGTGCCGGGCCGCATCGCGGGCTCTGTACGCCTGGCGCTGGCTGATCGCCGCACCGCCCCAGCCTGCTGTGCCTGCCTGGCGGCGTCGCGGTGCTCGATCATGCGGTCCCGCTGCAGCGAGCGGGTCTGCCTCTTGCACGCGCGGATGAGAGCGTCGGGGCTCTCGGGCACGCTGGCAGTGCCAGCGGGGCGCTCACGGGAACGGCCTCGCTGCGCAGGTCTCGAGCCAGCCGGCGCCGCCTGCTGTCTCCCGCTGTTTGCTCCAGCCGGTCCGTCGCCAGCTGTGTTGCCCTTGCCGCTGGAGGAGCGAAGAGCAGCCCGGCGCCGCAGAGGCGGCGCCTGCGAGAGCTCCGACGCCTCGGACACGCTGCTATTGCGTGCAGCACGCGACATGAAGACCGTCGCTCTCCGGTCTACCTCCGTACCTGTCGCACAGCAACTCGTGGCAACAGCGATGACGACGCGGCGGGAGCGATTTCTTTCTTCCGCCGAGAAGGCACGCGCTACAAAAACAAAACTCGTAGGCACGAACGCTCAGCGCTGCTCATTCTCTCTTCTCTGGTGGTCTGGCACGACTGGCAGGCAGGGGTCACGCTTGAGGCTTGTGAAGTTTGTGAGGTGAGACCGAAGGTCTCAAGGAGGTCAGGTGGGGGACGTCCTTTGAGTGCGGGTGAAGAATAGAAGGCTTAGACTCGGCACAAAGCCGCAGACATGGCCGCAACAGTGCGCGCCCGCAGCCGCCAGGTCGGTCTGGGTGAGCCGAGTGGAGGTCCACGCCAGCGGGCAGACCAGCACAAACCCGAATCCCACCAATCTGGAAGAGTTGGTCTGGTGGCGCCCGTTATCGCCCTTGTCGCCGAGGGAGAGCGAGCAGCGCAGCACCACACAACATGCCCGGAATAGGCGTCGACGACACATCAGCAGGCGAGGCGCAAAGAAGAGGCAGAGCACGCAACACGCTGCAGCTTGGCTGTGGGCGGTCTGGCAGCAACCATCGAGCGAGCCGGCGACAAAGCCAGCGCCCTCTGTACCCAGGGTGTTGTGCGAGACTCATACGTCGTCGCGGCGAACCGCTGTGCCAAGCACCCACCTTTCCAACCCGCCGCCGACGCTCGCTCGGCTGGGTCATCGGCGAGGAGTGCCGCCGATGCAAGAGTGGGCGGTCGCAGCAGCTCGTAGCGCTTGCCATGGCTGCCGCACACCCGGGCACAGTCACAGGCCGCGACAGGGACCCTTGGGACGGGCTGAGTGCACGCTGCGGGCTCGCACAGTGTCGGCGCGAAGCAAATTTTCTCTAAGTGAACCAGGGTTAGGCCGGCTGAACAACAATAAGGAAGGCCTGGCAGTGACCCACGACGACCTCCAGCGTCCAGTGCGGGTAATACCCGAAAATACCTGGAAAATTCCGGGTATTCTCGGGTTTTACCCGGGTTTTTTGCCGTTTTCTGCTTGCTGGCCGCTGAACAACAGTAACAACAGTAACAAACAGTAACAGCATGGGCTGGGATGAACACTTGAACAACGTTAAGGATTTCAGCCAACAATAGTGCAACTGTTAGGCCCAAAGTTAACGTTTGACAGCTCTATCCCTAAATCCCATCTCGTCTCAGAGTTTGACCATTTTATTCCTACGAGAGCTCGTAATGCACGTCGCGGCTTGGTGTTTTGGGTTTGTCTAACTCTTTGTTCATTTATTTATTGGTGCTCTTACCGGACGGACGGCACTCCGTGCGAGCCGCAGAGCGACGCCAAGGCCATCACCTCCTTGACGTTTTGCTGCGTCACCTCCTCGAGGCGCCGGAGCACCTTCATCGACCACGGCGGCGAGCAGAGCACGTGGATCGCCGTCTCAAAGTCGTCGCCCGTCACATGCTGTGCCTCATCCTCGTCCACAATCACCCTCTCGCCTCGCACCGCCTGGGGGAGCGCCTGCTCCGCCAACGCCCGCACCGTCGCGCCGCGGCGGAGCACGTCGTTCCAACTGCGCATCACGCCGGCGATGTCCTCACGCGTCACGGCGACCAGCGGCTTGCAGACCGTGAGCTCCTTTGGCTTGCGCAGCATCACCTTGATTACCGTCTCGATCGGGCACTCCGGCTTGCTGCGCCGCACCTCGCAGACGGTCGCTGCCTCGCCCGCAAAGGCGGTCGGGAGCAGCTCGCGCGCCCACCGGCAGACCTGCTCCGCCTTTGCCGCCAGCGCGGCCTTCCTCGCCGTCAGCGCCGGAGAGAGGACGCAGGCCGCAAAGTCCGCCCGCAGCTGGGCGTGGTCGAGGTCCTTGCCGATGACGACGAGCCTGCTGCGCCGCCCCGTCTCCTCGTCGCGCCGGAGCTCGCTCGTCCACTTGAAGACCATGTGCACCGCCTGGAAGACGAGCTGCTCTCGCCGGCCCGCGACGGAGAGCACGCCCTTCATGCGGTAGAGCCGCGCGCCCTGCGTCTGCAGCAGCGTGTGCACCCAGTCCTGGACGAGCTCAAAGTCGACCTCTCCCTCCTCATTGATGCCAACGCTGCTCACCGACGCGTCGTGCGCGTGCTCGCCGTCGGTCGACAGAAACTCGGGGTCCATCTCGAGGGTTCGCTCGAGGTCGAAGCCGCGGATGTCGAGGAGGGAGCCGACGTCGACGGCCGCCTGCTCGCAGCGCTGGATCGGCGCGAAGCGGTTGATGGCGCGGAGCCGCGCCTCGACGCGGCCGAGGTCGGCCTCGCTCACCAGGTCCACCTTGTTGAGCAGCAGCCGGTCCGCGAAGGCGACCTGCTCGACCGCCTCGTTCTCGGCGCCCTCGGGCTTCTCCTCGTCGAGGTGCTGCTCGATGTGCCTGGCGTCGACGAGGGTGACGATCCCGTCGAGGCGCGCAAAGGCCTTGACCGAGTAGTCGACGAAGAAGGTCTGCGCCACAGGCGCCGGGTCGGCGAGCCCCGTCGTCTCGATGAGGATGCCGTCCAAGCGCAGCTCGCCCGCCCGGACTCGTGCGGCGAGCTTCTGGAGCACGGCGATCAGGTCCGAACGGACCGTGCAGCAGATGCAGCCGTTCATCATCTCGATGATCTGCTCCTCGTGCTGCTCCCTCGTGTTCTCCGCGAGCAGCGCGTCATCAACGCCGACCTCGCCAAACTCGTTCTCGATGACGGCGAGCCGCTTTCCGTGCGGCGCCGTCAGGATGTGGTTGAGGAGGGTCGTCTTGCCGCTGCCGAGGAAGCCGGTGAGGACCAGGACGGGGACCCGCTCGTCGTCGCTTGCGGGGGCGGGGGCAGACGCCCGCTCCTCGCGGGCGAGGTCAGAGCACGGGGCCTCTACGGCACCGCCGACCGGCGGCTTGCCCTGCTTGCTGAAGAACGACGCCCAGCCACTCAGCCCCGCCGGGGCGGCCGGCGGCGCGGGGGGCTTGGGGACGGCTGCTTGCGCGGGCGGCGCTCGGCCGCGCTCGCCGGCCCGGATGAAGGCGTCCGTGTCGTGGGGCGCGTAGATGAGGGTGCCGTCGCGCAGCTCGACCTGGTACGGGCACATGGACCGGCCTGCCCAGTGGGCGAGCTTGACAACGGTGCCCGCCACCCAAGCGCGCGAGTAGCAGCACCGCACGGCATCTCCGACCGAGAAGCGGAGGCGGCCCATGCCCAGACTGGCCAGCCGGGTGGCGACATTCTCGGGCGTGTCGATGCAGCTCTCGAAGCCGCGCTGCAGCGCCGCCTTGTCGAGGCTCTTGCCGATGAAGGTGAGCCTGCTCTCCCTCTGCTCCCCCTCGCGCCACGGCGTGGTGAATCCGCCGATGTTGAGCATGTGCACCGCCTGTGGGGCCCGGAGGGCGCGTCACGGCTTGCGTCCCACCCCTCCGACGCCCAGTGGCACGCGCCTGGTAGACGAACTTTGTGTCGGAGCCGGCGACGTGGATCACTCCCTTCATGCGGTAGAGCCGCGGCCCCGCCTCGGGCAGCAGCGTGCTGCACATCCACTCCTTGAGCAGGTCGAGGGAGAGGGGGCGCGCCTCGCGGAAGCCGTGCGACGTCACCGTCTCGTCGTGCACGTGCTCTCCCTCCGTGTCGAGGAAGCCTACGCCGAGGGCGCGGCTGGGTGAGATCGGCCCGGCTCGGCGAGGGACGAGGAGCGGGGCGCTGCTACTTTACCTGGGTCCATCTCGAGGGTTCGCTCGAGGTCGAAGCCTCTCGTCTCGAGGAGGGAGCCGACGTCGACGGCCGCCTGCTCGCAGCGCTGGATCGGCGCGAAGCGGTTGATGGCGCGGAGCCGCGCCTCGACGCGGCCGAGGTCGGCCTCGCTCACCAGGTCCACCTTGTTGAGCAGCAGCCGGTCCGCGAAGGCGACCTGCTCGACCGCCTCGTTCTCGGCGCCCTCGGGCTTCTCCTCGTCGAGGTGCTGCTCGATGTGCCTGGCGTCGACGAGGGTGACGATCCCGTCGAGGCGCGCAAAGGCCTTGACCGAGTAGTCGACGAAGAAGGTCTGCGCCACAGGCGCCGGGTCGGCGAGCCCCGTCGTCTCGATGAGGATGCCGTCCAAGCGCAGCTCGCCCGCCCGGACTCGTGCGGCGAGCTTCTGGAGCACGGCGATCAGGTCCGAACGGACCGTGCAGCAGATGCAGCCGTTCATCATCTCGATGATCTGCTCCTCGTGCTGCACCCTCGTGTTCTCCGCGAGCAGCGCGTCATCAACGCCGACCTCGCCAAACTCGTTCTCGATGACGGCGAGCCGCTTTCCGTGCGGCGCCGTCAGGATGTGGTTGAGGAGGGTCGTCTTGCCGCTGCCGAGGAAGCCGGTGAGGACCAGGACGGGGACCTTGCTTGCGAGCGCCTCGGCGGTGTTGGGGAGCATCATGGTTGAGGGGCTGAGCGAGGGGTGCAGGCTCTCCAGGAGCCTTCGCCAACTAAATAACGTCGCGGGCCCTCAGCGGAGCTGGGAATAGGACCGCCGCGAGCGGCGTGGCGTGGAGCGGTTGAGCATCCCTCCGGGGGCCCCTCTGCGCCGGGGAGGCGTTGTTGGAGGCTAGGACGCAAGCGTCCGTCGCCCTTTTTCAAACTCGGGGCCCACTCCGCTACGCTCCGACCCGAATTTGGAGGGCCTAAAAGTTTAAGGTGTTGCTGCGCAAAAGGGGAAGACGCTCCACGCACAAAAAGTATATGTATCAGTTCTTACGAACGTACTTCCTCTTAGGCGGACCGATCAAAACTGATCACGACCGGCGCGGCGTGCGCTTTCAAAAGAACTTTTAGACCGTGAGAGAGAGAGAGAGTCCCACACCCCTCTCCTTAAAATCCCTGTGTGGTGGCGGCGTGCCGTCCTCCCATCCCTCCCTTGGGTTGTCCGATTTCTTTCTTTCTTTTTAGTCCCAGAATTAGTAAGAAAACTGAAAAAGAAAGAAACGCCGCCACTTCGCGGCGCAATCTGGGGGTGTCAAAGGTGGGCACTTCCAGTGTACCCCCGTTTCGCCCGGGCCAAAGGTCTCGCCCTAGAGGCCGCCCTTCCCTAACCCAAGGCTCGTCGCCCCGAGATGAGGTGTTGCACCGATCCCGTCGACGCCGCTGACGAGCCAAAGACCGCCCCAGCAGGCGCTCAGAGAGCGAGTCTCGGTCAGGCGCACACGCCCTTGATTGAGTACCGATTTCAGTCGCTCAGGCATGTCCGGTCCCTTCTCCTTCTCGAGCGGCCTCCCCGACTGCTGCGCCGCGAGCCCGGACCTCTACAAAACAATCGCTGAGATCCCCGACGTGGCCCGCCTGGTTGAGATGACGTTTCCTCCGGGTGCAGCCAACGGCCCACGTTTCCTCACTCCGTCACCTCACCCAGGGACTTCAACCACGGCGCCGCACCGCAGGCGCCAAGGACGTCCCGCACGAGCACCCCATCCACTCCATGTACTTCATCACCGACTGCAAGCTCAAGGCGACTTGACCGCCCGGTGTGGGTGCGGGGGCGGCGGCAGTGCGGGCGGCGGTGGTGGTTCAGGGAGCGGCGGCGAGGGCGGCGGCGGCGGTGAGGGTGGTGGCGGCGAGGGCGCCGCCGCCGGCGGCGGTGGCGGCGGCGGTGGCGGTCGGACAGAGCACCCACTCCGGCCAGCCGCCCACCCCGCACCCCCTCCCCCCACTGACTGTCCCAGATTGCGGGCCCTCCGACGCCGACCAAGCTGGGCGAGGAGGGCGGCGTGGCGGAGGTCCCTGCGGGCGCGGCGCCGATCTTCCCGGCCATGGCGCACCAGGTCGAGAATGTCGGCGACGCAGTCGGCAAGGCCATCTGTACAACCCGACCTCACCCCGAGTGCCTTGTCGGAACCGCCCGAGAGCCTTCTCGGAGCCGTCCAACAGGCGATCTTCGTCGAGCCGTACCCAAACTGCAAGGCGTGCGGCGAGGTCGCGGGCTACATCTCGCCCTTCGAGGTGTCGCCCGGCTGCTTACAAAAACCTGGGCCAAGGAACAACAACTGGATCCCCCGGGGTCCTTCACTTGGCCCCGTCGGCCGAAAAAAGGATCCCCCCCCCATCCCCCCAAGGGGG